GGAAAAGGGGGAAAGAGGCCAATTGCAAGAGGAAGTTGGGGAAAATTTTGAAGGCAGTGAGGATGCAGCAAAAGAGGAGGAGCTGGAGGATTATGAAGATGAAGAAGTTTATGAGGAAGCGGAAGAGGAATATTATGAAGAAGATTACCAGGAAGCAGAAGAGGAGGAACTGAAAGGGGAAGAGGAGGAAACCGAGGAGAATGTGGGGGCCACAGAGACCAAGGAAAACCTTCCAGCAGAAGCAGAATCTGCTCCCATTCAAGGAGAAGTGGGAAAAGTTGAAGAGGAAATTAGCAAGAAAGATTCTGATGCCACTACAGACAAGGAAGATCATGGACCTGAATCTCAGCCTGTACCTGTTGATGTGAAGGAAGAAGCAGAGAATCAGAACACAGACGAGAATGAAGGGAAAGAGAAAGAAGATTTGGATGTCAAAAGCGAACAGAAAGAATGCACAATGCAGTCAGAACAAGCGTTGGTGAGTAAGGAGGAAAGTCCAGGTAAGAATGATGAGCAGGATGTGACGGAGAATACAGAACAAGAAGCAGAGTGTCCTAGGATGGCAGATGGGGAGGCAAGTAGTGAGGCAGCTGCTAAAGACAAGGCAGGTAATGAGGAAAAGGAGGGCATTATTGTGCAGGATAATGCCAAAACAGAAGAATCTCTTGTTGAAGTGGGCAAGGAAGTGAGTGCTGATGATGACATCACCACTGATGAAAAGGAAGCAGGTGTTGAGAAGGAATCTGAATCAAAAGCCAATAAAAATGATGCTCAAATAGAGGACCAGCCCAAAGATGCAGCCAGTGAACTGCCTGAACCAGAGTCTGGGAAGGAGAGGCCCTCAAAGCTTGAAGTCAGTGAGGGGAAGGATGAAGGTGCTCCTGCTTCTTCTAGTGAAGCTGTTGACTCACAAGCAGAGGTTAAAGTAAGTGAGAGTGAGAAAAAGACTGAAGACCTGGTGAAGATCGCCCCTTCCCCTACGAAAACAAATGAGGGAGAGAAAAAGCCTGAAAGTCGACTGACCCCAGCTTCCTCTCCAACAAAGACAGAGGAACTTGTTCCTAACATTGAGTGGAAATGATATGATGATTTGGAAAGTACAGTATAGGGTTGTTTTGCTGTTAAAAGGAATAAGCAATGAGTCATGTCACTGTCTCCTATATAGTGTCACATCTTGGTTTCAAATACAGTAGTTATGACTGCTGTGTATACTAAATAAATTTTATATTAACACTATCAACTTACATCATGAAATTACATTACCTCATGTGCAGCTTCAGAGAATATGAGTGAATACTTGTAAAGCTAAATTTGGTTTTCATTTACAAGTTGTGCTGTGATGGTGCAGACTATTCCAGTTCTTTATCAAGAGGCTTTACACTCCATTATAGTTTTTAAGGAGTCATGATTGAATTTAACCATTTTCTGTGTCAGGTACTACCCATCATAGTTTGCTGAAACTTGTATGTTTTCATGACAGTGAAATTATATTTATGAAAGTAGAACTAGATTGTGTATATACAATTTTGTTTATATTTAAAGTATTAGGCTTGTAGGTGAGTCATTGTGTATAACTTACTTTATGCATGTTTTCCCCTTTCCCCTTTTTTATATCTTGAATATGTCTTAATTGATGAGCTAAATAATTTTATGTGTTTTTGCTCATATATATATATTTTTTATTTATCTATCTATTTATTTATTTTGCATGATTTAGACATAGATTTACTTCTTATTCTTTCTTTTTTTTACTCAGTTGGTGTACTGATATCAGCTTTTTATTTTTATTAAACTCATGATGCACAGGTATAGCCTGTATCTAATAGAAATTATACATGGGTGTGTTAAAGTTCCTTCTCTTTTTTTTTTGGTATGCTTGTTCACTTTATTTGTTTCATATTATGTGGATATTTTCTCCTTGTGTGAATAGGGGTGTGTGTGATGGAATTAAAATGCGTTAGTTATATATACTTAGACAACAGAATTTTTATTCAGAATCAGCTTGAGTAAATATATCCTGTCAAGGGACAAGTATTGGCAGCTCATGAAAAGTGGAATGTGGATTTCCGACTTATGTGCATGTGTGTGTGCTCAGATGCATGTGTATAAAGATATTTATGAATAGAAATAAGATAGACATTTCCCATTTTTTAAATACACACCATAAAATACACACCATGAAACCCATTGTATCTCATTACATTATATTCACATTGTGTGCTAATGATGCAAAAACCAGCATGCAAGCAAATGCAATCATGCAAACACAACTCATAAATTCATTCTGCCTCTTTAAAATGTCAAGTCCTGTTGCAGTTTGGAAAACACATTACTGTATGAACTTAAGGTTTTGAGCTTTTAGCTTATGTACTGTAATCTAAATACACTGGAGTAAGTAGATGGAAACCAGCTTTGAACACAGGGTTGTGAAACATGGAAAAAAAGTATGAAAGAAAACATTGCAACGTAGCACATAGCTGATGTTTGATGTGATGTAATTACGTAGGTGCCTTAAAGACTGCTTAACTCTCCGTCTCTCCTTCTTCTGGTATCTTTTACACATTCATGGTTTTCCTTAATTACACTGTTATTCAACCATTCTTCTCTTAAAGGGTTTCAGGACTTGTGGGACTTGCGGGGGATTGCGGTGCGCTTTGCTGAGGAAGTGAGCTTTTGGCTTGGGGTGTCCATAACAAAAGTGCCTTGATGTAGTATCCATTGTCCAGTACTGGCAAAATAGGCATTATTATCATTGTTTTTTCTTATTCTTCTTCTTCATTTTTCTTTTTTTATGGGTATTTTAATCCTGTTTCAGTTTCATATTGCAGGCTAAAGTGTAAGGGGTTTTGGCTAATTTATTACTTTGTGTGTCGTGGGATGGGTGTATGCACTTGTGTTTAGCAGCACGTAAAAGTTAACAAACATACTCCAATGCAAAATAGCCTTACATGTTTTGATATGCTTAATCAGTGTCAGATACACATAAAACCATATACATGGATACTTAAACATATTATATACTGTATATGTATACTCATATGCATGTAAAAGGAATCCTAATCAGTATGTATGTGTGTATGTATGCATGTACTATATGTACAATTATTTGAGAAATATGAAACTATACAGTCACTAGTCTTGCAGTATTCTAAAAGATGATTATTGATGAGCCACATCAATATTTATAATTTTTTTCTCTACTGGTCACAAGACCCCAACTTGCCATGACAGGATCATTCAGTTTCTAATAGTGGATATGGAATTAATATTGATTGATGAGATGCAAAAATTCCTTAACTTATGCATGTGTTGATATCGTCATTTCATATGTGATGGGTAATTTTATCTGGTCATCTTCAATACTTTGAATAGGTAAAAAAAAAACTTCAGATCTGAACCTTTTGTCACTCTTTATGGTAGACAAAAAGAGAGAAAGAAGAAAAAGAAAAATGATGAAAAGCAGTCAATAGGACAAGGGGTTTTATCAAGTGTTGTCATGTGGCCAGTGCCCTCAGCCGCAGTATTTAGGGAAGGACCTGTATTGTTTGTGTGGTGTGTGCCTGTGTGTGTTTGTGAGGCACCAGCAGAAGAGGGTGTTTTGACGGCTGTTTTGACCCATTGTAATGTTATTGCAATTCTAACCAGGTTATTAAAACTTGAAATTATTGCTGTGATGGTCTGGCAATGTTTACTTAAGAATCGCATCAGGTTTGTTGAACTAAGCTTACAAATTTTTCTTTTATAACCAAACATGTTATGAATATAGATTTAGATATATTTTCTATATTGTTTCATTAAAAAAAAAATGTATAATGTATATGTAATGTTTATGGTTATTTTAGGTAATAGATATTGTCATGCTGTAAAAAGCAAAATAAAGATATTTATTAAGAAAAGATTTTTGATGTTTAGAGATTGATTTTAAGTTTATCATAATATTGTTTTCATTTTGTCTTTTTTCATTGATTTAGTTATTTGGTCTTGTATTTCTTAATTATATTTGACTGATATTTTTTATCTTAATGTTTTTACAACCATTAATTTGATATTATTGTTGTTGTTATTATTATTATTATTATTGTTATTATTATTATTATTGTTATTGTTATTATTATTATCATTATTATTGTTATTATTATTATTATTGTTATTATTATTATTATTGTTATTATTATTATCATTATTATTGTTATTATTATTATTATTGTTATTATTATTATTTTTATTATTATTATTATTATTATTATTATTATTATTATTATTATCATTATTGTTATTATTATTATCATCATCATCAATATTATCATTATCATTACCAATCATTATTATGATCATTATTATAATTACAGTATTATTATTGTTACTATTGCTATTGTTGTTGATGTTGATGTTGTTATTATTATTATTATTATTATTATTATTATTATTATTATTATTATTATCATTATCATCATTATTATTATTACTATTATTAATATTAATATTATTGTCATTATCTTTATAATTAGCATTGTCAATCAGTGTTATTATCATTATTACTATCATAATAATAATTGGAGTATTATTTTTATGATCATTATTGTTATTATTGCTATTGTTGCTGTTGTTGTTATTATTATTATTATTATTATTATTATTATTATTATTATTATTATTATTTTTATTATTATTATTATTATTATTATTATTATTATTATTACTATTATTACTATTATTATTATTATTATTATTATTATTATTATTATTATTATTATTATTATCATCATTGTTGTTATTATATTATTATTATTATTATTATATTATTATTTTTATTGTTATTACTATTATTATTATTTTTATTATTATTGTTATTACTAGTGTTATTACTATTATTATTATTATTTTCATTATTGTAATTGCTATCATTATTATTATTATTAATATTGATATTATTATTATTATTAATATTGATATTATTATTATTATTAATATTGATATTATTATTATTATTAATATTGATA